TTTTTTCCAGAATTTTTTAACTTCTCCGTTGTTTTCCTTGTCTCCAACACGAAAACCTATTAGTGAAGATGTTTCTGTTGTGCTATTTTTTCATTTGAAATAAACAAACTACATCTATTTTTACGATTAATTTAATGGCTGATCAAGTTCAAGGTCAATTCAATGCAGTCTAAATGTCAACAAGCGAAGCGTATACACCATCTCAGTATGGGCGGAGCGTTGCATTGTTTATCCGATATTATTGGATAATACACGTCACGCGTATACTTAACTTCATTTGCATACGCTAAAACGGTTTGTAAAATAGAGTTTTTCACACGTTTATTGTTGCAGGATAGAAATTTATATAAAATGCACATTGCCTTATGTTTTGTTATACATTTCAAATAAAGTATATTAACTGTATCTTAATGTGTTATATATTATTTGACCCCTGATCCTATACCGTTATATCTCTCTCTATATTTCTATTATTCTTCTCTGTCATTGTTACTAACCTGTCACCCGTAAACTTGATATGTTATGTTCGGGTATGTTTTGTGATGCTCCATTGCACTTCATATCTGACCATTACATGTTAAAGTTGTGTAATATATTTATATTGTGTTTATATATTGTTTAATAAATATCTTGGATATTTCAGGTTAGTAATCCTCTGACCCCTATTACATAAATTATTAGATTATTACAGAATGTCATTATTGGTTAATATATAGAGGTTTTTTGAATAGATAACAGAGAGATATATTCACAATACTTACCTTGAATATTTTTACAATACTTACCTGAAATTGTACATGTAGTTATTACATACCTGTATCACTCATTCAACCTTATCTTATTAATTGTTAATGGCACTTCATATCTGACCATTACATGTTAAAGTTGTGTAATATATTTATATTGTGTTTATATATTGTTTAATAAATATTCTTGGATATTTCAGGTTTAGTAATCTCTGACCTATTACTTAAATTATTAGATTATTACAGAATGTCATTATTGGTTAATATATAGAGGTTTTTGATAGATAACAGAGAGATATATTCACAATACTTACCTTGAATATTTACAATACTTACCTGAAATTGTACATGTAGTTATTACATACCTGTATCACTCATTCAACCTTATCTTATAATTGTTAATGGCACTTCATATCTGACCATTACATGTTAAAGTTGTGTAATATATTTATATTGTGTTTATATATTGTTTAATAAATATCTTGGATATTTCAGATTTGCATTTGTTGTGTATGTCTATTACCCCACCTGTAATACAAATAACTGCCGACTGGGCTACGTCGACAATGGCGCCCAACGTGATTCAACTGTAACATCTACAAGAGATCAGTTGATAAGACTGGACCAACAGATAATTTATTATTGTGTTCCAAATGTTTAATGCATTTGATCTTACATACGTGAATAGTATTTTGTGTACTGGATTATCTAGTATAAGATAAATTCATTTGTGCATAGAAGGATTTTGATTGGATTTTACTAGTGCGGCATTTACATATGACCTAGTTACCTTCTTCCCGCCGAGATTCTAGTTATTCTATTGGTTTTTAAAACCATGTGATTATTGACGTCACCAGATTTTTGGATATCCTGTCCATAATTGTGTATATTGTAAACATTGTCACGTGCGTGCAAACTCCTTCGTTATTGATAGGGCCCTTACTTAATTATTCCATGGAATCTAACTCGAGACGTCGAGTACCATAATTACGTACCGGGAAGGCTAGCCTCAACGCAGGATCACTTCTCATCGTCAAAGGATTTGTGCCACGGACTCTTAAACTTTCTCTTCAAGTGAAAGTTTGTTTTTGTTTATATTAGTTAGTGTGAAAGTGGATGTAATAATTATGTGATATTGTGTTCTTGAATTGGATTATTTTTATATAGGATATTTTAATAAAAGGTAACAACTTTTGTTTTATTTTTGCATATAAATTTTTGAAGAAAACTTAGTCATTTTCTGTAATTAGCATTTCTATAGATTTTTGAGTAGACCTTTTCTTAAGTAAATTTTTGTTCAAGAATGTTTGATAAATAGACTTTTCAAAACTTTTATACATACAAAATACTTTGTAACTTACGATACATGAAAGAAAAATAACATTGTATAAAACTTATTTCTTCAACCCGTTGCAAAAGGTGAAAAGGATCAAAACAAATCATTGGAAAGCAATTTTGCGTTTTTGGATAATCACATAGAAATGCTCGATAAAACTTTAGGAGAACTAAGAGAGGAAAGGGAAGGATCTAGAGGAGGAATAGAGGAACAGTTACGAACATCAAGCAAACGAATTACATATAGAAAAGAAAAAGTAAAATCAATTGAATATGAGGATGACTTATCAAATACAAGTACAACACAGTTGAAACGTTATAGAAAAGATCAAAGTGAAATGAATTTAAGCACCAGGTTAAATGAAATAAAAAACGAAAATGAAGAGATAAGAAGTCAGTCTAGTTCTGTTGAAAGAGAAAGTTTGAAACTAAGGAAATTACAAGAAATAGAAAAGAAGAAAAACAGATTATTTATTGAGAATCAATCGAGACTTGAAGCTGAAATTGAAAATAAGAGGAGAGCGGAGAGAGAATTAAGTGAAAGAATAAAGCTATTAGAAAGTCAGGAAGCAGATTTGAATATGAAACGGAATGAGAATGAGAGGCTTGAAAGATTAATGTTAGTTAAAAAGAAAGAAGATGAAGCATTAAGAATGAAATTGAAGCTTTTATCGGAGAAAGAAAAGTTGTTAAAGGATAGAGTAGAGACAGGAATAGATGAAATAAGAAAAAGAACAGCAAAACAAAGAGGAAATGATATATTTGTAGACGAAAATGAAATACTACGAAGAGATGAGAGAGATGTAACAAGAACATTTGAAGAACCTCATGTTCCGGATGGAGTTGGAATGACAGAGTTAGATAACAAGATAGGATTTAATGATGGAAAGTATAGACAGAAGAAGGAGGATTTTCCTCTATTTAAGGTTGGACAACCTAAAATACCACATTTTAATGGAAGTCATTTTGAACAGTGGAGGATGGAAATATCTTGCTTAGTTGAATCTATGATGTATCCTGATTATGCATTAGTAGTAGGAGCTAACGGATATCTATCCATTGCATCATCAAGCTTCGAGTTTGATGTTGAATTCATTATTTCTTGCTCAAATTATTATTACCTCAGGTATTGTACACAGTAATTTTGAGTTGTAGCCCAGCCAGCGTGTGCAACTTATGTTTTGTATTCAATAACTTATATTTAGCAAATGTGTTATATAACTTTGTACATAATATGTATATATGTTTTTTTAATTGAAGGGAGACGTACAGAAAAGTCAGGAGCCTTTTAAACGAACCTGGAGGAGTATGTCGCAGGATAGAAATTTATATAAAATGCACATTGCCTTATGTTTTGTTATACATTTCAAATAAAGTATATTAACTGTATCTTAATGTGTTATATATTATTTGACCCCTGATCCTATACCGTTATATCCCTCTCTATATTTCTATTATTCTTCTCTGTCATTGTTACTAACCTGTCACCCGTAAACTTGATATGTTATGTTCGGGTATGTTTTGTGATGCTCCATTGCACTTCATATATGACCATTACATGTTAAAGTTGTGTAATATATTTATATTGTGTTTATATATTGTTTAATAAATATCTTGGATATTTCAGGTTAGTAATCTCTGACCTATTACTTAAATTATTAGATTATTACAGAATGTCATTATTGGTTAATATATAGAGGTTTTTGATAGATAACAGAGAGATATATTCACAATACTTACCTTGAATATTTACAATACTTACCTGAAATTGTACATGTAGTTATTACATACCTGTATCACTCATTCAACCTTATCTTATAATTGTTAATGGCACTTCATATCTGACCATTACATGTTAAAGTTGTGTAATATATTTATATTGTGTTTATATATTGTTTAATAAATATCTTGGATATTTCAGATTTGCATTTGTTGTGTATGTCTATTACCCCACCTGTAATACAAATAACTGCCGACTGGGCTACGTCGACAATTGCTGACACTTGTGACATAACGAGGTGGCGTTCTCTAAAAACACAATTACTTGACAGGTAAAAGTGGTCGTTTAATGAAAAGATTGATGTCAATTAGGTGACTAATTAGCGGTCGCTGGTCGCGTTGAGCAAAAGTCGCTTAATACATTAAAGATATAGAGAGAAAATGATCGGGGGGAATTTAAAGTGGTCGTTTAAGACAAAAGTCGCTTAATACACGTGGTCGCATGGGCAAGTTAGACTGTAATTACATTATAATAACTACTCGTATCTACTGTTGTTACTTATATAAGTAAGTATTGATGCATCAATTCGTTTTGTATTCAGATGTCGTCCGTATACAATTAAAGAAAATCTTTCTTAGGAGTCTACAAACAGATAGGTTTAATTACCTGGTAAACATATTAATACATTTAATAAATAATATGATGGGATATCAATCCACTCCGAACATGATATAACTGGTTTAGACAGATATAGGCAGTGCAGAACTTGCAACGACCATTTTGTTTAACTCAAAACGGTCTCTATATGTTCTACAATCTTGTTCCAGTTGCTATATGAGTATCTAAATCTGAAATTTATATGCGATATAAGCGGATGTTTATGTCAGAATCTCACGTTAGCTGAAAGTTTTTTATTCCAGTGGATATTATAGGCCATAATCTCACAAGGCGCGGAATAGTAACTACTCTATTTCTACTTTAGATATTGTATTTTTATCTATTCTATGTCATTACATTAAATAACTTATTCCGTATCACACTGGTATGCAGAACGGCTCTTCTTTCTGCATATGCGATCTAGATATCGTTAGATTAGTACAATACTAATTCTATTGTACTGGTTTAAAGATGAAAAAATTGTGTTGCCGTTCGATATATGTGTAGGATTTACAGTTGTAATATTTTCTAATAAACTTCAGTATTGTACTCAACAATGTACAATAACCTCATATAATAGTATAAGTATATGATTTTTGAAAATGCCAAAATGAAGATGAATTGTCATATATGTTTCTCACACATTACAATTTTCTAATTGAAACAGGGGAAATTGTTAGAAAATGATAAAATGTTTGCAATTTATTGGCATTTTCTTCACATTATTCCTTTTTTACCCGCTTTAATTATTTTAGGTGATCTCAAAGTGATATGTATGACTGTGCCTTACTCAAACAACATTCTTTGACATTGTGCTTAATTTGATGTGACAGTAAATCTGAGTTATTTTATTGGTATAGCGAACAAAAGTGAAATATTTTATTAATGCACCAATAATTGGTAGCTACAAACGTAGAAAGTCAACCGAATTACTCCTGTAGGTCATTTCTTAAATGAGAAATGTTGCGTTAAACGGAATGTATCTTATCAAAGTGGCGCCATGTGAAAGAAATCTTTAACTCCCAATCAATTATAAGACCAAAACATAAACTTACTAGATTCACTAATTATAAAGTAAAGTTAATTTAATAGATGCATATTATGTAGGTTTATAGGAAAATAAATAAATAATTCTTACGATAAAGATGTCAAAATATTGAGGACAGAAGTCTTATCTTGTTATTAATGTTTAAATATTGAAGACAAATTTTTGTTAAGCTAATACATTAAACAGTAATATAAACAAATTCTGGATAAACAAATTCAAACATTAGGTTTTTCCAGGTGAAATTCATAGTATAAATTTATCGAACTGTTTCAAATGGAATTGCTGTTGCATGGTAAATTTGTATAATAAAGTTAAAACAGTAAATTTCATATCTGTGTGTCTGGTATATTTTTTGTTTTAATTAATATTTTGAAATGATATAGATATTCTGGCATTTGATTGATTACATTTGATTTCAGATGAAAACATTGTAATGGTATCGTCAGAATACTTTATTTTATTCATCGCATGTCTCTGATAATGTTATTTATATTCGGTTATTTGTAAATTTCAACCGTCTAGACCTACAGATTGAAAAGTTGCCAGTGATTAATATGTTTGATTGACTATGTTGCTTTGACCACTATATCAATCATATTAAAGTTTATTTAGGCTTAATCTTTATGTCCAATCAGGTTTTATAAGACATCGCGTACATTACAAAATTAGAGGACTCAAATCCAAATATATAATATATAATAGGGATGAACATTATTGTTGGCAATAACCTGATGGATATATATAGATCGGGTTTAATGCTGGTCAGATTTCCCTTACAGTTTTCACAATACCCGGGAACATACTATGGCATTTATCAACGAAATAGTTAAACAGATAATACTTTTGTTTCCTATTTTATCCAGAATTGAAGAGCATAAACATATATACCATTTTATAAACAATGTTAAAAAAAGCACATAGTATTTCATAAAAATTATACAACGTAATTTTTTGGTTGATTTGGAACGCTTTGTGTGTTGTCGCTAGTGACAGCACGAGAAAGCGCCAAACGGCTTGTTGTCAGACGTTCGTCTTGTCGTCCTGTCGCTAACGATGCACACCAAACGGCGAGTTATTGTGCGGCATGTTGCCGCCACGTCACATCGTCGCTCTGCTCAAATCGATGGATTGGCTTATAAGCCAAGCGACGGGCGATATTGCGACAACGCGATAATGCACGGCAACGTGCCGTTTGGCTTGCTTCGCAAGCGACAGTACGACTATGCGACAACGTACCGTCCGTATCATTTATTATGGTGGAAAATTTAGAAATTATTGAAGAGTAGATGGATTTCGTAAGCATGACGTCTATTAGAAAGTAATCGTATCATGAATAAATTAATATTTTAAATGAACAAAAAAGTTGACGTTTACGAATCGTATAATAAAAGGATTTATTATCATGAGAAAATATAAGTTTTTGTGACTTAAAAATAAGAATGCCGCGTCTCATCGGATAGTGTGGTTATTTTCAGTCAAAATTCACGTAAAGTAAAGCTTGCAAAGTGCCAGAAATTTGTTAGAATGCTCCTTTGGATGTCGAGTATGAATCTATAACATTGATTTACTCGAACAAAGTTGGGATATGTTAAAAATAGATGAATATTTACCGTCCGTCAATTGTGTTTCGTGCGCCGACATGTATATACTGTACAGCTGTCGACGCTTGAACTGCTGTCTGCCCTTTTGATTGTACGGTGTGTAATACTGACCTACAAAATTATAACTCATGTTCTATTTTTTTTTAAGAATAGTATTTCTTAAATACAATGTATAGAGATAACCTCTAGGCTATAATTGTTCTACAAATTAGTTCATGTGGTATATGTCATGTCTGCATAAATATACTAGTTAAAGATAAATTCTATTTGACTTAAGGGATTATGATTTCATTAATATCGTTTGGAACTAAAAAAAAGATATCATCGAATACTAAATTAGTAATCACGTACGAAGATGTAAAATGAATCTTCAGAAGACGTAATTTCCTAGATCACGAACTAAGATAGATAATGCTGATTTCATGATGAGAAATAAAACAGATCTTACAAATTGGCATTAGGAGAGTGCTCTTTCGTCGAAGTTTTGTTATATCTCTCGTTGTATCAGCCATCTTCCAATCGAGAAGGAGAATATACATATCACTAAAAGGAAATTGACACCAGCGTCTAATTTAGAATGTGTTGGGACTGATAATGTCTCGGTGGTGTTATATATTAAAGCCCTAAGGGACATTGATTCCAATATTTAATTCTAAAAACTTAGCACTACTCAAGTCTTGCAATATTGTATGGATAGTGTTACATATACTAGTACAGTTTTAAGTAAAGACCTCTCAAAACCGAAAATGTTGCAGGCTTAAATAGTATTCAACATTTATATATAACAATGGTGAAATATGGTAATTAAAAACTACAGTAATGACAATGCCAAACCTTTCTTGAATTTTGTTATATAAACAATAAATATATAACGGTCTTTTAAGTTTAATTCACTCACATTTTTTCCAGTAAACTTTCGGCCAGTGCCAGTATTATAATACCTACGAAGGTAAAACTAACTTGTTCCTAATCCCGACATGATTTCGGGCCCATCCGTTTCAACTTAGAAACAAAATACCCATCAAAATATTTGCAATATCAGCAAGTCTTCTCAAATGTGCTTGTAGAATGTAAATACACTTCATTTTGTATTCTTTTTCAAATATAGTAGATTAA